GAAATTTTGAATCAACATATTTTTCCTTTGAAATGTTACATTTACTCAGATTAAACTTTTTATCTGTCATCTATGTTATATTACGAATAAAATATTGACATTTGCCATCTCCACATCATTGCATTCAGTTTTTTTTTTCACAATTTGTTTAGTGTCCCAACGTTTTTGGAATCCGGTTTGTACACACACATACATACAGGTCATATTGTGATAAAGGTCATTATTTTCCATAATGTAATGATAAAAATGAAACTTTCATATATTTCAGATTCATTGGACACCAACTGAAATATTTCAGGTCTTTAATTGTTTTAATACTGATGATTTTGGCATACAGCTCACGAAAACCCAAAATGCCTGTCCCAAAAAATTAGCATATTTCATCCCATCAATGAAAGACAAGTGTTTTTAATAAAAAAAACGCCAACCTTCAAATAATCATGTTCAGTTATGCACTCAAAACTTGGTCGGGAATCTTTTGCATGAATGACTGCTTCAATGTGGTGTGGCATGGAGGCAATCAGCCTGTGGCACTGCTGAGGTGTTATGAAGGCCCAGGACGCTTCAATAGCGACCTTAAGCTCATCCAGAGTGTTGGGTCTTGCGTCTCTCAACTTTCTCTTCACAATATCCCACAGGTTCTCTATGGGGTTCAGGTCAGGAGAGTTGGCAGGCCAATTGAGCACAGTAATACCATGGTCAGTAAACCATTTACCAGTGGTTTTGGCACTGTGAGCAGGTGCCAGGTTGTGCTGAAAAATGAAATCTTCATCTCCATAAAGCTTTTCAGCAGATGGAAGCATGAAGTGCTCCAAAAACTCCTGATAGCTAGCTGCATTGACCCTGCGCTTGATAAAACACAGTGGACCAACACCAGCAGCTGACATGACACCCCAGTGACTGTGGAAACTTGACACTGGACCTCAAGCAATGTGAATTCTGTGTCTCCTCTCTTCCTCCAGACTCTGGGACCTTGATTTCCAAAGGAAATGCAAAATTTACTGTAATCAGAGAACATAACTTTGGACCAGTCAGCAGCAGTCCCAGGCGAGATGCTTCTGACGCAGTCTCTTGTTCAAGAGTGGCTTGACCTGGGGAATGCGGCACCTGTAGCCCATTCCTGCACACGTCTGTGCACGGTGGCTCTGGATGTTTCTACTCCAGACTCAGTCCACTCCTTCTGCAGGTCCCCCAAGGTCTGGAATTGGCCCTTCTCCACAATCCTCCTCAGGGTCCAGTCACCTCTTCTCGTTGTGCAGCGTTTTCTGCCACACTTTTCCCTTCCCACAGACTTCCCACTGAGGTGCCTTGATACAGCACTCTGGGAACAGCCTATTCGTTCAGCAATTTCTTTCTGTGTCTTACCCTCTTGCTTGAGGGTGTCAATGATGGCCTTCTGGACAGCAGTCAGGTTGGCAGTCTTACCCATGATTGTGGTTTTGAGTAATGAACAAGGCTGGGAGTTTTTAAAAGCCTCAGGAATCTTTTGCAGGTGTTTAGAGTTACGTCGTTGATTCAGATGGTTAGGTTAATAGCTTGTTTAGAGAACCTTTTCATGATATGCTAATTTTTTTGGACAGGCATTTTGGGTTTTCATGAGCTGTATGCCATAATCATCAGTATTAAAACAATTAAAGACCTGAAATATTTCAGTTGGTGTGCAATGAATCTGAAATATATGAAAGTTTCATTTTTATCATTACATTATGGAAAATAATGACCTTTATCACAATATGCTAATTTTTTGAGAAGGACCTGTAGTTAGTCTTCAGTTACTTTCAGCTAATATTTTGCAACTTTTTTCTAGTTCGCTTATTTTTACTTTTAGCTTTTAATTATCCATATACAATTTTTAGCTTGTAGCTACCCTTTTCATACTTTAGCTTGTATAGCATTTTGCTACTTTCAGCCTACTTGTTACTGAAATTTATTTTGTACTTTAGTTTTTAGCTGGCCTTTTGCTACTTTTAGCTTCTAGCTATAATTTTGTTACTTTTAGCTTTTAGCTAGGCTTGCTACTATTAGCTTTAGCTAGTCTATAAATATTTTATCTTTTAGTTAGCCTTTTTTACTTTTATTTAGCCTTTACTAACTTTAGCTTATAGATAGTTTTTGATCCTTTAGCTTCTCTTTGAATTTTTGTTACTTTTGACTAGCCTTGTGCTATTTTTAGATTTAAGATAGCCTTTTAAAAATCAGAATCATAATCAGCATTATTGCACCGAAGCACAACAAAATTACATTTCAGTACAGCCCGTGCAAGTAAAACACAAACAAACAGACATGGGGGTGTCTGAGGCTGCGGCCTCATGGGAGGTGCTGCCCTTTTCGATTAGATAAAGAAAAGAGAAACACAAAAGAAGAGGATGTGTTTAAAAAAAAAAAATCATATTTCACACCGTGTCCTAGATGGGACACAATGCTAAAGTTGCAAAAAAAAAAAAAAAAAAAAAAAAACCCAACCTCAGCACAGAAATAGCAGCATATTGATGACATTATAATACAGTGCCTTGCGAAAGTATTCGGCCCCCTTGAACTTTTCAACCTTTTGCCACATTTCAGGCTTCAAACAAAAATATATAAAATTTTAATTTTTTGTTAAGAATCAACAAGTGGGACACAATTGTGAAGTGGAATGAAATTTATTGGATGTGTCAAACTTTTCTAACAAATAAAAAACTGAAAAGTGGGGCGTGCAATATTATTCAGCCCCTTTACTTTCAGTGCAGAAAACTCACTCCAGAAGTTCAGTGAGGATCTATGAATGATCCAATGTTGTCCCAAATGACTGATGATGATAAATAGAATCCACCTGTGTGTAATCAAGTCTCTGTATAAATGCAACTGCTCTGTGATAGTCCCAGGGTTCTGTTCAAAGCGCAGAGAGCATCATGAAGACTAAGGAACACACCAGGCAGGTCCGAGATACTGTTGTGGAGAAGTTTAAAGCCAGATTTGGATACAAAAAGATTTCCCAAGCTTTAAACATCCCAAGGAGCACTGTGCAAGCAATCATACTGAAATGGAAGGAGTATTAGACCACTGCAGATCTACCAAGACCCGGCCGTCCCTCTAAACTTTCATCTCGAACAAGAAGAAGACTGATCAGAGATGCAGCCAAGAGGCCCATGATCACTCTGGATGAACTGCAGAGATCTACAGCTGAGGTGGGAGAGTCTGTCCATAGGACAACAATCAGTCGTACACTGCACAAATCTGGCCTTTATTGAAAAGTGGCAAGAAGAAAGCCATTTCTCAAAGATATCCATAAAACGTGTTGTTTAAAGTTACCCACAAGCCACCTGGGAGACACACTAAACATGTGGAAGAAGGTGCTCTGGTCACATGAAACCAAAATCCAACTGTTTGGCCACAATGCAAAATGATATGTTTGGTGTAAAAGCAACACGGCTCATCACCCTGAACACACCATCCCCACTGTCAAACATGGTGGTGGCAGCATCATGGTTTGGGCCTGCTTTTTGTCAGCAGGGACAGGGAAGATGGTCAGAATTGATGGGAAGATGGATGGGGCCAAATACAGGACCATTCTGGAAGAAAACCTGTTTGAGTCTGCAAGAGACCTGAGACTGGGACGGAGATTTATCTTCCAACAAGACAATGATCCAAAACATAAAGCCAAATCTACAATGGAATGGTTCACAAATAAACGTATCCAGGTGTTGGAATGGCCAAGTCAAAGTCCAGACCTGAATCCAATCGAGAATCTGTGGAAAGAGCTGAAGACTGCTGTTCACAAACGCTCTCCATCCAACCTCACTGAGCTCGAGCTGTTTTGCAAAGAAGAATGGGCAAGAATTTCAGTCTCTCCATGTTCAACACTGATAGAGACAAACCCCAAGAGACTTGAGCTGGAACTGCAGCAAAAGGCGGCGCTACAAAGTATTAACGCAAGGGGGCCGTATAATATTGCACGCCCCACTTTTCAGTTTTTTATTTGTTAAAAAAGTTTGACACGTCCAATAAATTTCATTCTACTTCACGATTGTGTCCCACTTGTTGTTGATTCTTCACAAAAAATTTAAATTTTATATTTTTATGTTTGAAGCCTGAAATGTGGCAAAAGGTTGAAAAGTTCAAGGGGGACGAATACTTTCGCAAGGCACTGTATATATGCATGAGGAAGGCCAACAAAAATTAGAGTCTAAATACTTAAATTTAGTCTCTAGTTAGTCTTTAGTTACTTTTAGCTAATATTTTGCAACTTTTTTCTAGTTAGCCTATTTTTACTTTTAGCTTTAGCAAGACTTAACAACTTTTAGCTTGTAGCTAGCTTTGTGATACTTTAGCTTTTAGGTTGTAACCTTTTGCTTCTTTCAGCTAACTGAAATTTGTATTTTTTTTTTAGCTTTTAGCTGGCCTTTTACTACTTTTAGCTTCTAGCTATAATGTTGATACTTTTAGCTTTTAGCTAGGCTTTTTCTAGCTTTTAGTTAGTGTCCTGTTTCTTTTAGCTTTAGTAACGAAGATATTTCTTCAGCATGCTTTAGTGATCATTTATCACTTCGCAATCAAGCTGTATTTTCTCAGAAAAAGTAATTTATTTAGTTTTCTGCAATCCTCAGCTACATAAATATTTAAATAAATATCAACAAGCTATTTTTCTATCTTTAGAAACAGATATATGATATGTGCGCTTTAAAAGGGGGAAAAATCCATCTGAGCTCTGCTGCAGGACTGTGTTGACGTGTTCTGGGTGAAAGAGCCGCTTGTTCAAACCAAAGAGTCCAATCATTTTTCCACAGAGGATGTCTGACATTATTTTTGGACTCGGAAGATTTTAAAAGCTTTGGCACTCCTAAAAAGACTTTTAAAAAGCGTGTAAATCTTATATAAATGAACATTCTTTGATAAAAATTTCAACAATTTTCAAACTCTCAAGTTCACTTACAGACTAAAAATGATGGATACAAACTTTTCACTTTAATTTTGTTTGTTCATCTTCTTCTTTAAAAAATAAAAATAATATTGTGGTCGGTTTAACCAGTTTGATCAATGGTAACTGGACTCACCAGTTGATCGGCACGCTCCTCCAGGTCTGAGCAGAAGGACAGCAGGTCGACCACCGTCATTCCCTTATTCAGCTGAAACAGAGAGTCTCGCTTTAATTATCAAGTCAAAAACTAAATTTAAAAAGAGGAGCTTTGAAGCCTAACAATAAAAAATAACAGTAGAAAACATGGAAACTATACTACCATATTTATTTGGCTTATGTTTAAGTTTTTTCATTCAGTTAGTCAAGAAGGGTTGACAAAACAATTTAAAAACAATAAATCAGTTAATTTCACAATCACTTCATCAATTTAACAGGAACACACACATTTACACACATTACCTCATCCAGATAAGCAGGATAGTCGATATCTCCGACTCCAGAGTTGGCAAAGTTGATGAGGTTGTCTCTGCCGGCCTGCTCCAACAGGGTCACGTCCTTCAGGTCCACCTGCACACCCTCAAACACTTTGGCCAGATCTTTGTTGTACTGTAGTAAGACACATTTATTAATCATATCGCTCCATGATTGCATCGACAGCAGAGCTGCAGAGGGAAGTGACGCTCACTACTGTTTTGTTCAGGAAGGAGTTGATGTTGAAGATGTTCTCCAGCTGCAGAGCGTGATACAGACCGTTGTTCTCGTAGCACTCCCTGTAAGATAAACTTTTTGATTACCTCCATGTAATCAGCACAAGGAACAGCTTTATTTACATAAAAATAAATAAAAACAAATGCATAAATTCAATTGCAAAAGGTTAGCAAATGTATAAAAGTTCAAATGTGAGCATGTTAAAAAAGAAGAAGAAAAAAAGGAGTCAAATAAAAATCTGGCGATTGTGTTGGTTCAGATACCGATACATGGCGCCTAATGTTAAGTCGATGTTTGGATTCTGAAACAGCATCCCAGGAAGGAAATTCCTTTTTTCAGGATGAACCAGGAATGGTGAGTCAATGATCTGGATGCATACAAATACACAAAGGGTTAAATATTTAGGCATTACTCAGATAGACGCAGAGAGGAGAAGGACTTAAGAAAGAAGTTAATATGTAAATGACCTTGAATAGTTGTCGGTTGGCCAGAGGTTCACACATCAGCTTCTCTACATTTCCTCCAACAACAAACAGGGTCGTCACAAGGCCCATCAGCACCCAGGCGAAGATAAACGAGAACCCCACCCCACTAAAAAAGCAAGAGACATGGAGTGGAGAATCAAAATCACATTAAGTGTAAGTCGTTCTTTATTTTCTGCCTTCTCTCAGCATTTACGTCCTCGTTTGTTTGACTTTTCTCATCTATTTTCCGAACCATTACATTCTAGATGAGTTCAGTGCTGGTAAGAAAATAATTAACAATAAATTCAAAATAAACTCCGGTTTCCTCCCACAGACCAAAAACATGCATGTTAGGCGGATTGGTAACTCTAAATTGTCCCTAGGTGTGAGTGAGAGAGTGAATGGTTGTTTGTCTCGTTTGTCTCTATGTGTCCCTGTGATGGACTTGCGACCCGTCCAGGGTGTACCCCGCCCCTCGCACAGTGATTGCTGGACATGGGCACCGGCGACCCCCATGACCCAAAATGGAATAAGCGGGTAAAGATAATGGATGGATGGATGAAATTCAAAATAAAAGCTCATTTAAAGCAGGGGTTCCAAACCATGATCCTTGAGGAACACCATCCTGCATGTTTTAGTTTCTCTGCTTACACACCTGATTTTAATAAATGGGTGATTAACAGGCTTCTGCAGAACATGAGGAAGTAATTAAATCACTGAATCAGGTGTGTTGGAGCAGGGCAACAACTAAAACATGGTGTTCCTCAAGGACCAGGGTTGGGAACCACTGATTTAAAGCCTCTTAGCATAAGATCTATCTAAAATAGAAGAAAAAACATAAAGTAAATTTGGGTTGTAGCTTTGTTACAGTAACGTACGCCATCAGCAGGTTTCCTCCGGTGTTAGACAGGCAGCCGCGGGTTGTGGGGGTAGCTTGCTTGTCGTATCCACAGGAGCCACAAAGCAGGCCGAGTACATTGAAGGCCAGAACCAGGACGACCGAGCAGAGCACCGCCACACAACCTATCCACCTGCAGCACACACACAAGGATTTCTCTTTTTTAAAACTAAGACCTCCATCTTTTTTCTGTGTGACGGGCAGCTGTATGACTATACCAAAAAATAAAATGCTTGTAGCAGAGAGGTTCTTTACATATTTGAATTAAAATGATATATTTGCACAAACCTGTAAAAATCCATTTGGTCAATCTGAGGGTAAAATGACTCTATGCTCTTGTGTTGCTCGTTCAGAAAAGTGGTGAAATTAACAAGAGAGGCCTCCACTGGGAACATCTTGGAGAAGGCCATTATTTCACTGCCAATCTTATCCAGCATGCCTTTTACTCCTACAGACACACAAACACAGACCATAAACAACTAACACAAAATGACAGACACACAATAAAAGAGACCATTTCAACTCAACTAGAACACAGGCACATTATAATCAAGAGATGTAGGAACAGATAGAAACTTTCTTTTTACAAAATGCTGAAATGAGCTCATCGTGAGCTGAGGAAATGTGGAGTTCAGCACCTAGATTAGGTTTGTGTTAGGGAACTTTTGGTCAGAGTTTATGAATGTTTTTAACTACTATGGCTGCGAATGTTAACTCTGCCCATGAACCATATGTTTGAGTTAGCAGACAGAGCTGGACGAGGAGCTGATTTGAGGCTGCGGGGGTCACCTCCGAGTCTGTGAGCTTGGCTGAACTGATCAGAGCAGGGCTTAATTTGAGTCGGATTCTGCCAGAACAGGATGGAAACGCTCTTATTTTGACAGGGTGCGTTCCAGTAACTGTTTGCTTGGATCTGGCAACTCTCAGGCTTACCAATAATGAAGCTATGAACAAATAGGACCTCCTTGAATGAATAAAACTTATATTGGATATACAGTATAAACTGAAAATAATTACATAATTAGTTGCTATTTTATATGCGTGCAAATCGTTAACGACATGTGTGTATAAAAACACTTCTGCACCACCTGTATACTTTGAGGCTCAGAAGCCGCAGGTTTGGACAGTTAGAGAGCGTTTAGGAAAAATAAACTTACGAGGCAGTGCTGTGTTTCATCATGCATGCATGTAAACAACGAGAAGAGAAAGAACATGAAAAATACAACCAAGATTCACTCTGATCTAACAAAGCAGTTACAATTAGACAACACACACACACTTGAATACCTGACACAATGTTTTTGGTTTGATCTTTGACCAGTGTTGGTGTGTTGTTAAAAGATGCATAACCCTACAATGAAAAAGACAAACACAAGGAGATGAATTATGTTGCAATCAACAGAAAGTTATTCACCAAGAAGTAGAAAAATACTGATCTGGACCTTTTGAACAATGTTGCTGAGGTCTACTTTCAGAACGGTGTTGACGTTGGTCAAGGTGTGTCCAACATCTGGGAGCTGACAGACAGACACAGAGACAGGAGTTGTTCAAGGTTCTTTATTGTCATTCGCATCAGGTGGTCCATGAGGTGAGGTGGAACGAAACTGTGTACTCAAGGTCCAGTTACACCCAAAAATAGCTAAAATATTAAGTATAAAATAAATCAGTATACAAGGATTTAAGATATACACTTTTTGGGTTCAGGGACCCCTTACAGGGGAGAAAATGTTTCAGGGATCCCCTCATAATAACCCTCATGTTTATTAAATAATTTTCTTCAGTTGGTCTCTTTAATGCAATGGAAATATTTGTGTAACATAAATACTAAAAACTTGTTCTTTAATAGTGTTGATACAATTTTTATACTTTTAAACACGGGATATTTTTCATTCAAGAGACACTTAATTAACACCATTTTTAATTTCAACTTTCAAAAATGACAGTTTTGATCAAATAGCATCAAAAACCACTTTAAAACTTTACCTATTCACATAATGAACATAATAAATGTTTTGCCACTTTTTCAAATTATTACAGAAAACTTCACATAAAACTGAACAGAATCATAACAGCTGTAGTCAGACCAAGTGACGGGGCTTAATTTGTAAACTGATCAATGTGTGTGTGTGTGTGTGTGTGTGTTTTCTGGAGGTCCTCCCCCAGTAAAATTTGAATAAAGTAGATGTGATTTCCTGCATTTTGGTGTGTTTTAATGGGTTGTTAAACATCTACGTGCTTATAAAAACAATAAATAATTATTTATTTATTTATTTATTTTTGTTTTTTGCAGACCCCAAAGCACCGGCTCACAGACCCCTGGGGCTCAGGGACTCCAGTTTGAGAACTACTGCGCTAAACAGTAATAATGTAATACAGTGTATTAAACAGCAGCCTGAACATGAGTCTGTTGTGAGCAGATAGGTATGAATGTAGCAGCTTATGGGTAAGAAATCAGCAGCATGGATAATCAGCAGCATGGATAATCAGCAGCATGGGTAAAGTGACGTATCACCAATTAAAGAGTCATTCCAGTGGTTACTCTGGTTAGGGATTGATGAGTCTAGCAGCTTCAGGGTAGAAGCTGTTGACGTTTTAGTTACTACTTTAAGCACAGCTTGACTTTACTGTTTCATTACCTTGGAGAAGTCAGCATTGACTCCAAGCTGGGGCAACGTGGATCGGATACTGTTACAGGTGTGGGACACGGCTCCGTTGGTGCAGGCTGGGTCCGACAGGGTGTTGGACAGAGAGGCGCGCTCCCCTGCAAGACTGGCCTGAAGTTTTCCCATCCCCTCCTGAAGGATCTCCAACGAGGAACTGACATTCTCCAGGGCCTCTTTGGTCTCCCGCAAGGCTAAACCCCCACAAAGAATGGGCAAACTTAAAAGAAAACTTGTTTTTCTGACACAGTGACAGTGTGTTGGTTGTACACTGACATCACATCTACAGCGCACTGAGGAAAGCCACAAGAGAAAACAGGCTGGTTTAGGATGAACGTATTTCTAAACACTTCCACAGAAACGACGTCACAGTTACGGCACCACTGAACTCAGATCAGCCATGTTTACCTTTGATAGCACTCTCAACTTTTGCTAGAGATGGAAAATAAAGTATAAAACAAAGTATCAGTTTCTGAGCTGTAAAATCTAAGAGTTATATAAATTATGATTAATGGAATATTTAAAAGGGCATGCTATAACTGGTCATCAAAATGTGTGTTGCTATGTGATTTAGCTTTCACTTTTAGCCACACTGTTAAAAAATGAGATATTTTATTTGATCACCTCCATGTTGCAGCTATGTAACCTCAATGGGGTTTCAAATTAAAACCCAATACAATGAATGTTACCTCCTGCCATAAGAAGGGCAGAATCCAAAGCAGGAACAACCTCTTTTTCCAGATTACTGTGGATCCGAGCACCTAGTAGAGGTCCGATATCTGCAAATCAGCACAGACAGTTTATGGATAACAGCACAGCTACAAAAAGCTAGAGACATTTGCTGTAAAGATGTTGGTTTCCACTCACTGTCGAGGTCCGACAGGACTTTGTTCTTTGCAGTGGTGTACTGAGCTGTCAGGTATTCAATTTGCTGCAGAACAGAACCACACCGTGACATCAGAGACCTTTCTCTGAGGAGAGATCTGCATTTGTGAGTTTAACACATGAACATGAGGGAGCGTACCACAGGCGTGTTGTTAGCAAACGTCTTCAGGTCTCTCATGTTGGTGTTTATGAGTCGCCGCGTGCTTTTAATCTGAGAGGTCATATTATGGTTGGCGGTGTAGGCGATGAATACTCCCAGACTGAAACGCACAGACGCAGTCAGGGTCAGAGAGATGTAGTGACCAAAGTTCACCACTGAAGGACAGCATTGCTCCAAAAAGTTCCAGTTCACAACTATCAGGACTTAAAAATGTCATTCAACGAGAAACAACCAGAATCAAGACTGAATAAACAAAACATAGTGTAGCATTGCTATTTATGGCAGTGGCTAAATTCACGCTTTTCACTTTGATACCTGGTGGCACAAATACATCATTTATCTTGAGCTGAAAACAAGCCAAGAAAGAAAGCAACTGCTGTGAGAGAGGATAATGAGAAAACCGAAGCCTGAAGAAGACCTCACAGGGCTTTGGTTGTGGGTTTGTGTGAACAGGAGCATGAATGAGATGTGAAAGGACTCATTCAGACAGAGGGGCCTCCCCCCGACAGGTGAGATCACTGACTCCTGACTGTCCTGTACAGTTTGGATCTTCTTCCTGTTCACAGGGCGCCACACTGCCTGTTTATCAGCTTGGAGGGAAATAAGGTTGTTCATTACCTTCATATTCCACACATACAGCACTCTACTGCATCTTTACAAAGACTTTAGATCACATTCATACAGCGATGGGACACGTCTGAGGCAATCAGTGTCTTGCCCAGGGACACTTCAGCATGTGACTGCTGGTGGAATCAAACCCCCAACTGTCCCATTAGAGGATGACTGCTCTAACCACTCAGCCACAGCTGCTCCAAATCAACTGTTTTAAAACCAACATTTTAGCCAAATGTCAAAACTACACTCAGCTGCTGACGTTCAGCTCTTTGTTCACTGTATTTCTGATTATTTTAGCTTCCTCAGCGGACTAAAGGAAATTCAGCCACCTTTCAGCATTCACTCTGCAACATTTACATTTCATTCACTTTTAAAAATAATAAAAACCTTTTAAGTGCTTTATAAATAAAGTAGCATGGTATATTCTGTATATATACATATATATATATATATACAT